AAGAAAGGAAACTGAAAAGTGTCCATGAAGACACGTTGCGTTCCCACACATTTCCCCTACAAATAATGTCATATTTATTATGTGTAATATATAGTGTTTTCATTTTAACTGTAATCAGACATGAGACAGAAATATTACATGCTACTATATATGTATAATTTGTATAAAGGATGTTCAATACTGTATTAGAGTATTGTATACTCTTCATTCACAACATTATTGTAGGTACGGTTCGGCATGGCCAGGCGGTAGACTAATAAATAGTAACAACAACAGATAAATAATAATTATATGTCTTGGGGAAAGGGAAAAGTGTATAATATGTAATATTATATTTATCATGACACAAAAGAACAGTGTACCTATATAGCCATGTTGCGTTCCAGGCACATATTTCTGTGAATAATAAACTAATTGTGAACGGTTTAGTACAACTGTTGGTAGTCCTCCGGACGAATGACGGTTGGTTGTATTATGCTAGCCCACTGAGATATCATGCCGACATCAAGAACCATCCCAGCCGACACATGACGTTGGTCCATCTGAGGTTCCTGCTTTGAAAAAACATTGTATCAGCATTGGCCATCTGAGGTTCCTGCTTTAAAAAAACATTGTATCAGCATTGGCCATCTGAGGTTCCTGCTTTGAAAAAAACATTGTATCAGCATTGGCCATCTGAGGTTCCTGCTTTGAAAAAAACATTGTATCAGCATTGGCCTTTTAATGTGACATTGTTTTAACATTGAAAAGTAATCTAAATTTAAAAATTTCATGTAATCATAAATGCTACGATATTTCATGTAATATTTATTTATGTCGTTGTAATTTATACACTCTAGACTCTATATTTCATGCCAAAAAAATATGATTTAAAGATGTACTTTCTTCAAAATTTGGTTTAACAATTTTAACTAAGAAATATATATACTCGTACATTTAAATATTTTAAAATATAATATAATTATATTTTACCGAAACTGTGAGGACTTTCCGCATTTGACCTGAACATTGGTGCGTATTTGGGAGCGGCCGAGTAATGACGAATGAAACAGACATGCACTCTGTGTCAGCGCGCTATTCTCTTTTTAAATAAAGGCAGCCGTGCAAAGTAAGTATCTGGGTCAGTTGCCCAGGCCTGGCGTTATCCAGTGCTGTCCATCGCTGCGCTATACAACACCTCGCCGTGTCACAGCGCTGAAGAGTGGAAGTCGGCAACTCTGAGAGGGAAAATAAAAATGGCTACCAAAAACCGTAGGTCATGACAACAAAACACAAAGGGACCGTGTGTCTCTCTCAGGATAAAGTCGTCAGTGTTCAAGTAAGTGATGCTTACTCATTTAGTACTCTGCATCGGGTTCGGGTTATTGTTTCAGCTAAAATGTTTGCAAAAGGAGTTAATGAAAGAAAACTACCCCTCACTGATCAGCGCGGGAGATGCACATTGCTTTATGTTACTTGTTGCACATCATCAGTATGGTAAAATTATTTATATAACAGAAACATATAAATATAAAGAGTCATTCAAAAGCTATGTTCTGTATGCTATTCTTTTTCGTAAAATGCACATACGTTAGGTATACTAGTATCTGCGTGTACAGATATAGAGAATACTACACTCATTCTCGTTAGATACCATTTTTACGAAACGAGTGGACTTTCTATGGTATCTGACCGAGCGAAAGCGAGGTCAGATACCATAGAAAGTTCACGAGTTTCGTGAAAATGGTATCTTACGAGAATGAGTGTGGTATTTTATTTATTACCCACGTTAAATATATATTTAAGTGTAAATATATAACAACTTTCGTTCGTTGACAGACCAAACTGAAACCGGTTGCAAAAGCTGGTTGCGCATGAATATTGATATATGACCAAATATGGGCATTGTTGACATGTTTATGCATACGCATTAACAACATGCGCCTGCTGTTCTGTTTGCAAACAAACCAGCACCGACGCTCAAGTTCCTTTTGGAAGAAAGTCTTCAACTTATGGCAATTCAAGCGCCATGTTGTTAGTACCCAGGACACCGATAAGAAAATTTGAAATGTCACATTAGCGCCGTGCTTTGAATATCGGACCAACAGTCACACGCATCACACTGCCGGGGTCCCGTCTGTGCAATCAAAATGGTTCGGTTTCCTTGATCTATCAGCTGAATTTATATCATGTCCGTACCATTTTGGAAGAGGGAAATCAGACTGTTCGCCAAAGACATTCATGTTAACTGTACCACCCTTATATACTGAAGACGTGAAAATCAACAAACTCAAATCTGCTTGCATGTCAGTGACAGCTTCGAAAGATCGAAGGGCAAGGTCGCCACCAGAATAAGAAAAGACAACCGCGATCCACTCACAGCGTTTTACGCTAGAGATAGGGAATGTTACTGTTCACATTTGGGATGTTTGGGGCCACAAAATCAGAAGTCAAGCACACTTCCACGGAGTTTTCGAATGATTTGTATCGGAACTGTGAACTTTAAGTGATCTGGTCGTGCTGTCGTGTTCGTTCATTCATGAACAACACCTCCCGAAACAGCGCCACAAAATACGCTTCAAGGGGGACACCGATGGCACAACCGGATCATCCCAAGTAAGTCTAGATATCTGTCCAGATAGTTTAAACAGACTTCATTTCACCACGCCTATCCTCTTACGTTAAATCAAATTGAAAGTTGCGAAAATGGTCGGGTGCGTCACGCTCAAGGGACGCGCTCGATCGGCGGTCGTACATTGTAAATCGATTTATAGATCTAGCTCGATTATATGTCTGTAGGACCTCTATGCATAACTTATATAGAATGCAAACCGAATTTGATGCGTGTGACTATCTTGTTTGGTTTAATAAAGTGTTTGTAAATATCTCTCGTTCTCATGAATTTCTTCAGTTCTGCCTTGTAATCGCAAAATGAATGACGTCTCGCGATTTTTTATGAATGAAAAAAGTAGTCCCGGTGTGACAGAGGTCACGGTTATCCAATCAAAACGAATAAAACAAGGTCAACCTTGTACGACACACGTGTGACGTACGGATTTAGTATCTTACCACCTGTATCTTCAACACGTGGGTAATAAATAGAGATTACTACACGAGTGTCTGTCAGATACCATTTATCTTACGAGTTGTTTCAAAACGTATCTGACGAGCGAAAGCGAGTCTTAAAATCCTAAAATCGCACCTTTTTAACATCGAATAGATGCATTTTGTCTGTTCTCATGATGGCAGCAGCAGCGCATTGATATATAACATCACAGTAAAAAGTGACGTCATCCAAGGTACTGCTTACTACTCATAAATAATGTGACCCTACACAAAAAGGTTTCCGCCATATCTGTGGATTACAAAGGCGATGATGATAATGCAAACTAGACTAAACAAAGAACACGCTGGATGCCGAGTTAAAAGTTTACACCTCAAAGAAATTACCAAATATGTACAACAATGTTTACTTCCGTATGACATCACTACCGGTGACCGACTTTTACAAAATGGCATGTTCAGGGACAACAGTACGCGGGATATCCAGAGGAGGATTTTCGTTGCTTGAGGGATCGTATATACATAAATGTGTCACGTAAGTAATCAGAAACATTCTGACAATCTGTGTACTGTTATTTGTTTACCATGTTTTCCAATGAAACAAAAAGAATAAGTCAGAAATGCAGATAACTACCGTCGTCGTTGTGCGTGATTTTGCGTCAGTCATGGCGTCACAAAGGACGGAAACATTTATGGTTTCTGTTGAATTTATCACACCATTGCAATGTATATATTTGAAATTCCATAATTAGTGCAACGATACTCTTCCCATGAATATTCTCAAACGCGTGATCGAGTCAATGTATGCAACAATTAGACGAAAGAACCTCTAAAGATGCTACACAGTGTAAAATCTGAATTTTGCTTTGTTTACATTTCTACAGTTTTCCGAGCACAGTATTTCATCTATATAATTTGCATTAGTGACAGAGACCATTTGTTATTTGTTTCTAAAACGTATGAGGAATTCAGGGATGCATATACAGCAGCTGAGTTTGAAATAGGCTATACCTGATCAAATAGGCGTCTCATAACCGGCATTTTGTAAACACAATCCAATATGGCGGAACGTACACTTCGGCGTTCGTGTATGCGTATTTTCCAAAACATTTTGAACGATTCTAGGCTTATCAGCGACGTTTCAGAATTATGATTAGTGATTTGTTACCCGTGATCACTAATGTGCTATTTTTCTACTTTAATTATTCGAGTATTATAGGAGGGTTGAAGAGGAGAGACATATGTATCGCTGTGGCATCTAGAGGGTTTACACTCTTAAAAACCATAACGTTGACATAACAACAGATAATGTAACTGATAATAATAACAAACAAACTCGCAGACGAGGACGAGTTTGTTTATTAGTATTATTAATCAACAACGACGAAGGTCAACATTCGACTGAAGCACGAGCAACTTATGAATGACTTACACTTAGGAAAGTAGTCCGTCATCATCTGACCTCAGGTCACCACCATGGAGTAGCCAATCACGGGCCTGGAATTCGATCTCACACATATGTTTGATACCAGTTATCTCAAATGGGTTTCTCGCCCACAGGTGTTTAAGAAACGGGAAGGTAGTGCGCTGTTGCATAGACTCGCTTCCCAACGCTGACGACCTCTACGGTCCAGTGGATAGAGCGTCTGACAGGAGAGCGGAAGGTCGGGGTTCGATCCCCGGGCGCATCTTACCAAAAGACGTTAAAAGATTGTACTTGATGTTACCTATCTGGCGTTCGGCATTAAGGGGATAAACAAGAACTGGTCGGCTCGGAGTCAGTGTGTATGAGTGTAGCATGGCTTCTCAGTGGGCAAGCACCATAAAATCGGCATTAGTCCGGACTAGTACAAGCACACGCGCACGGACGCACACGTCGCTGTATAAGCGTAATAATCTTTAACGCTACGTAAAATCCTATTCCACCTCACCCTAGCGTTGCCTTTCACTATTTCCAGGTGCTGGCTCAGTCAACGCGGCCCAGGTCAAGTTGCCCTCAGCTAAATATATTTCAGTCCAGACGGTAAGTTATATTACGTAAATTTGTTTTGTAACAGAATGCCTACATGGTTTAGATTCAATACTTATAACTAGATGGTTTATTTACTTATGTAGTCTACACACACACACACACACACACACACACACACACACACACACACATTCTTTAATCGCAGTTAATTAGGAGGTAAACATACTGTTTCAATGTAGAGCTAGGTTGCCTGTTGATTTAACTGCGCTAAATTGAATTTGGAACAGAACGCAGTTAAATCTTTAGGTAACCTAGCTCTAAACTGAAAACACAGTATGTTTATCTCCATTCTGACATGACAATATAGAACTCATTGGTGTTAACAAATATATTGAGTACAGCGTTTTGAGTGGCTTGTCGATCTGAATTACAGAATCACCGACAGCATTTATTGGCGCTGTATATGCTCAAACAGTTTGTTTACACCGAAATAATTAACTCGAACATATGACAGGCACTGAAAGCATACAAGCACAGCAACTTGATTTGCTAAGATGAGGTGGGCACCCCTGAAAGCAAGCTTTGCAAAGCTTTTGTTCTTCACCGCGCGTCACCATTATGACGTCATATCGCTCATTGTGACGCAAAAGATATGACCTCACAGTCACATGTAGAAAAGCGACAAATTGCAAGCTATCTATTGTCCCCAAAACTTGATATACATACACGAAGAATCTTGTCAGATAATAGATCCCACCACCCTCGCTCTTCCCTCAATCGCTAACATTTACCAATCATAATAGGAGACCGTGGTTTGATTAACGTTGAAAAAACATGGAAAATATGCGGACGTCGCTTTCGAAATGTCACGCTTGCATCCCAAGTACCAAGTTGTCCGACTCCCCATTGTTCTCGGTGCCTTAGGTTTGGTAACTCCCAATCTGTTGACTGACATTGGGAGAGTACCTGGGTTTGCTATCAGGAATACAGCCCTTCTGACAATCTGAGTAATGCAGAAGGACGCAGTGTTTTGGAGTCTTCACATTCCCCGAAAAATTCTGGATGGGTTTGACTAGGCAGCGCTTCCTGGGCGAGGTCCCATTCGCTGTCTGGGCTGCGTATAGTGGGGGCAAGGGCTCTGAGCTGATGATGAGCCTAACCAGCCTGACTACCAGGATCACCCAAACACTCGTTGCTGCATTTTTTATTTTAATCTGAAAATAATAATATTTTGGATCATTTTACCTATAATGTCGGGAACAAGCAAAACTAAGATGTCGAAATAACATCGCCTTGTCTACAACCTCTAGAGTTAAGTAAAAAGTCTGAAAGATGTTCACTCTGGATAACACAGGATGTGGCATATTTAGTTCCGAGAGATATCCATTTTATAGTAGAGTCATATCCCTGGAATCCGTGACCACTTTATTCCTACCTTTTTTTTATGATGGATTTGTTTAACTGACATGTTTAACTAAAAAATTAGCCCCCATGACCCTCTGGGAAATGACGGCTAACTCTGCCAGAACGCAAAATTCAAAATGGCCGTCGACGCCATTTTGAATAGCATGAAATAGTATATCAATGGAAGAATATCAGCCACAGACACATATAAGGTGTCTAATTCCACTAATTTGAACGTGATAAATCCATTGGAATCGTTATTTTTTACATTAGAAGCAATTCTGACCTTGAATTCCAAGATGGCTGCCGGCTGCCATCTTGAAAAACAGAAAATATCATATCTCGAATACTAGATGGGCTACAAGAACAAATGAGGTGTCTTATCTTAACTAATTTTATCATGATAAAACTATTGGAATGGTTAATTATATCCTTGGGATCATATTTATCTCAATATTCAAAATGGACACCAACAATGTAGGATATAAGGTATACTCAACTACAAAAGAAACGCACATGCCGGATAAGTTTAAAGGGTTATATCTTGGAAACTATATGAGCTAGAAAGATATTTTTTGTAGGTGATTAGAGCTAAAATGTTGAATTTAACAAATCTATTAGTAACGACCAAAATTGATCATGCTCAAGTATTTAACATTAATTTTGCGTGTCTTTGAGTTATGCGTTTCTTTACCAGTTGGGTGTAGTATTGTCATACCTTAAGAAATGATAAACCGATTGTAATGATCTTGGTATATATTTTAATGTACATAGTTGTATATGCCCTATCTAACTGTCATCTTCATCCAATGCCAGTGTAATGTGATATTGGTCAATATCTAAGGATTGAGGGGAAAATTGTCTGTTTGACCTCAACAATTTGTTTGAAGCACAACATCAACAACCTAAAACTGATTTTGAATGTTAAAGCAAATAACTTAATGCTAAGGTAGTTATCATAAATTCTGCAAAGAATATATTATTTGCAGATGCCAAGGAAAACATTTTGCTATATTTGATTCGGTATCAGGTGCCTATTAGTCACTGCATTGTAGTAATAGATCTAAATAAAGCTTCTGTAGTGGTAAAAGTGATCACGAAGATCTTCCTCTTCCATATTCATTAAAATGGCGGAGGCAGAGGATGGACCTAGCAGACGTTATGATGGTGCTCCATTAAAGCGGAAACAAAAATCATTCTTCTGTATGATATGTGAGAATGCCTGTCCTGAAGGTGACAACATTGACAATATGACTCCTGCTAAATGGAATACCATGAAAGAAAAGGCCACAAAATGGGAAGGACTGGACAAATTTGGAAATGTTTGTGGCACAGTAGACTGGGCGAAAGGGCCGACAGGGCACCACATGCATAATTCTTGTTATGTGACATTATCCAGTGGCAGCAAGCTCTTGCAATCTCAGAACCGCTTATCAAAATCTAAGCAAAGCATGTGCAGAGTGGAAGACTCAGATGATCTAGTCCCACAGGCACCAAAAAAACTACGTTCCAGTATCGGTTGCCTTCATAACAAGGAACGATGCATTTGGTGCATGAAAGAAGCCAACCCAAAACAGAAAGATCGTGACAAGCAGCTAATTCTGCTCTCAACAAAAGATGCCTGGAGAAGGTTTAAGCTTCACACCATCCATCTGGATGATGTTACCATGAGAGAGAGACTCAACACTTTAATAGATTCTATCCCAGATGCTGAAACAGCATTTGGAATTGAAATACGGTATCATCGTGGATGCTGGCGAAAGTATCTCAGTGACCATAAGAATATCACGGATGAAAGCGCTCAGCATCTTCAGCGGGTGAACCTCCGAGAAGCACAGAGTATTTTCTTCAATCATGTTCATCAAGTAATTTTCAAAGATCATGAATTCCGTACAGTACAAGTCTCCTGAATGATTACAAGCGCATCATCTCAAATTTTGCGCATAATTCAATAGTTAAATCTAGCTACTTAAAAGAACTTCTGATCAAAGAATTTAGTGAAAGCATCGGATTTCATGAACGCAATAAGAAGAATCAGAGTGAACTGGTCTATGATACCACAGCAGGAGGAACATATGTTGAGGCTGCAATATATTCACTTGGTGTCAGCAATGATCAGCTAGCTATGAATGTTGCAGCACGACTCAAGGAGCAAGTCATGAGCATGAACACTGTCCCCTGGCCTCCATACATCCATGAATTGGAGAGAGAAGAAGAACTGAGTGAACTTCTATTGAAGCTGATCACCTGGATGAAGCATCCAAAGATGGCTGTCATTGATGATTGTCCAACTGTCCGTTCAATTGCTTCTGTCATCACAAGTTACATCACCGGAAAACACACTGCATTTGAGACGAATATGTCAGTCATGCTATATGGACTGACAAAAAGTAGGGAGATCATTGATGTAATGCACAAAGATGGTTTGGGCATCAGCTACAATGATGTTCTTATGCTGCGGGATTTCTGGGTAGCGACTGACCTAAAACATTCATTGAATTGTCCGTTCGAGCTTGCTGAAGGCAAACCTGCTGTGGCTATAGTAGACAATGATGACTTAAGAGTGACACACTCACTGGTGCTGATCAACCACACCGCACTAACGTGATGTTTGTTCAACCAGAATCTTTTGATTCGGAACCGTTGGAGAGTCATGAAACTCGTCCAGTTCCCAGTGCAAAACTTGCCTCATCTCTCTCTGCCTTTCTCAAGGAACTTGGAAGTGAAATGCAGAAGATTGATCCATACAAGACAGTTAAGCGTGGAGAGCCACCCATCAGGGCAGAGACAGAAAACAACAGTATTCTTTCGGACACATCTACTCAGAGGACACGTGGTGTTATTCATGCACTGTCCAGGGCCCAAGATGACCTCTCAAGACCAAAGCCAGAAGAACAGCAAGTGCCTGGTTATAAAGGGTTTCATGCTAACATGTCACAACCACAAGAGAAGAGCCGTGCAATATACTACATGACATATTCTGACCCGCCTAGTAAGACCATCCTCTATGATGTGATGTGCAAACTTGCTAAGTCAATTAATGAAAAAAAGATGCCTTTCGCAATCATTGTAGGTGATTATCCGGTCTACTTGCTCTTGCTGGAGTTGAAAAGTGAGAAGGCGGTTCAGTTCAGCAAAATTTTGCCGTTCATGGCACCCTTCCACATTCAAATGTCATTCATCTACGCCATTTACAAGAGGTTTAAGGGTTCAGGTATTTCTGATGTGTTAGTGGCAGCAGGTGTAATTGCAGAAGGGTCGGTAGATCAAGCACTCCGAGGAAAACATTTCAAGCGTGGTGTACGATGTCTGTACCTCTTCTATGAAACAATGGTCCATCATGCACTAAACAGGCGTTTGGAAGGTACAGCTCTATCTGACGAAGTCAAGGCTTTTATTTCCCAGCTTAGACAGCAGACTGATGCAAAAGATGAGGAACTTGCGGAAGCGTATTGCAAACTGGAAAGCAATGCAGAGCTGAAACACCTTGTTGATACTCTCTTCGAAGAATATCATGATGCACCACAAGCACAGTACTGGATATCTTTTATGGAAATAGTGGAAGTTCTCACCCAAAACATCCATGCTATACGAACAAGGAACTGGACCGAGTTCAAATCTTCACTGAAGCTCACGCTGCCATGGAT